ATATTATAAGAGATATATAATATTTCTAAATATGATACCAAACAAGCTGCATCTGTTGTCCTTTCTTCAGTGATCTCTCCTGGTTGACCTCCCACAAAGCATTCTGATCAACAGTTTCTTCTTCTGACATGATGGAATATGCAAAGACCACACTAATCAAGTCTGGCTAGAACCTTAAGGGCATTTCTGACCTAGTCATGTCAGCACAGAAGAAGACAAAAACAACCGATTGCCAACTGGACCTTCCAAATCTGAACTAAAAGAGTTGGTCTAGAGTACATTAAGTATGTCAGGCATCTCACTGGATAAAGTTTAACATCATGGGCCCAGCTGAATTTTGATCTGCCATCCATGGCTGCTTTACTGTCCCTATATCAGATTTTATCATTAGTATAACTGAGAATGAATAAAGACGTTCTCTGAGAAAAGAGTGGCATTTATTCTGAAGCAGGGTGCATTTCCTTCCACACCACTATGCTGACTAATCAGTGCCAGGAGCCCTCATTCAGCCCTTTCATCAGTAACAGCCAAGGATGAGGGAACAGAAGAGGTCTGCAGTCAACTGTGAAAGCCAATTTATACTGTGCCAAAACCAGTGTAATGCTTCACCCAGAGGATTTTGGAGTTAAATACAGAGGAAGAAGCTGTTGATCAGAATGTTTTATAGGAGGTGGACTGGGAAAGATCACTGAAAAAAGGACAACAACTTATTCAGTTTTGCTTGGAGGATATGTATGACCCTGTAAACACTGTATTAACTTTTCAGTTAGGAATAATTGGCTTGGATCTCTTCACATAAGCTCTGCAACAGGAAATCATTTATATCAACATGCAGAAAAGCTGTAAACCGACATTCCACTGAATGCCTGATCTGTCAGAATTGGGAGGCAGAAGGTCCCTGTCACTAGGAAATGCCTTCTGCTGAAATGCAAATATGTATCATCAAAAATGACTGTATTAATTTGTACTATCAAAAACAATTTAGAAAGTGTAAAGCCACTTCACTTTACCATAAAGAAAAAATTGTCATTGTAGCCAAAGCAATATCTGGCTGCAGTTACAACTACTGAATTCTGCCTACGTGAGTTCTGTTTTAGTATCCTTGCTTCCAACATTTTGAGTGACATAAGTGTCCTCCAGAACATTTTAGATGTCTCCTGAAGGTCTCACTAAAAAGTGAAAGCAAACAAAAAAGACATCACAATGGAAAAGTCACACAGGAATACCTGTGTGGGAGTCATGCCTTCTAATTTTGGTCATCTAAACTTTAGTCGAACCTAAGATAATTCTCTAGGATGTTTCCAGTGGCTGTTTGGAATTGCCTGTCTCTCTCCATAGAACAGATTTCTCTCTTTCATGTAATGGGAACACATAACTGGCCAATGCTTCAAAATGCACCTACGTGTTCTTTCAGGTTTGTGCTCTTTGCAGCTTTAGAACAATAAAAATTTTATCAATAAATGTTCACTTAGGAGACCTGACATGATGGTTTTATTTCCATTGGTTTGAAAAATTCCAAGTTGATACCAATTATTTACTCAAATTTTTAAAATAATTTCAAAAAACCTGTATCTTACTTTTTCCACTCTTCAAAGTTGCCAAATGTTGATAGACACAGAAAAATGTGTCCTTGTTACAAGAGATAGTTTAAGCACAGGTAATTAACGTGTTGTTCTTTCATGATCTTTTATAATGAAAACTGGCAACACATGTCGAGTCAAAGAGGAATATCATTAAAAAGGAGCATAATACAAACATATTTACAGCATTGTCTAAATTTGCTACTATCTGACAGGAGTGTTTATAGTTAATTACCCTGCACCATATAAGAAAACCTGGTACAGAACTAATATTCAATGTATCGTAATTAATAGAAAATAAAATGTTAAAGAGCCAAGAACATAGTATCTGCTTAATTATGTCAGAAGAATATTCTAGTTCCTTGTTTCTTTTCTCTAGAAATTGCCTCTCTTACCCACATACATACAAATAAACAGCTGCAACATTTTCTTCAACCTAGCTCTGCTGTTGATGGCATACCAAAAAGGCATGTTTCTGTACAATTTCTACAATATGCCCTGTGCCCCTACAGACTAAGAGTCGTTCACTGGTAGCAGACAATCTCACCAAGGATGCTTTAAGAGCTGAGTGAGATCTCTAAGTTCTTATATAGCCCCTGTTACTATCACTTCAAAAGCTTCTCCTCACATATGTCCAACACAAATTCTGATACATCTATGCAAAATAAAAGATAAATTCATTACTTCTACAATTTATGAACTCTTGGAAATATGGCTTTTTGATTATTCTGCATCTTTTGGTAGTAATACCTTTGTTACTGCACTGGTAAATGTGGCCCACTGTGACAAATACCGTTACTTTCTGTATAGATCACATGCGAGCAAGCAGCGTAGTTGAATACAAGTGAACACCATATAAAAGCAGTTTATAGAAATACACATTTTTGATCCTAACTATAATCATTAAGGAAAGATCAACTAAAGCTGTTAAACACCCTTGGGATATTTGAAGTGGCTTAACAGTATTACCTACAGAACATGGTTCTTTAAAAAATGCATTTTTTTAAACACCTGCAGTTAATGGTTGCAACAGTTCTGTAATGGAAAAACACAGAGTGAGAATCTTGGATCTTCACTGAAGTGGAAACAAAACACAAAAAGAACTTGATAAGCAATGAATAAAAGACCCATTGAGTAAATCAGAAAAAAGTTTCTGTATGTATCCATTGCAGTGCTCATATGCTGCTGCATTTGTAAGATACCAAGAGCCTTGATTTGAGGATGACCTATTATGCTCTGAAAAATACACAATTATTAGACAGTGGTTATCTTTACTTCTTCTGGATCCTAGCCTACTTATGTTGTCTAGTGTACCTATAAATGCCTTAACTAATCATGAGATGCCTACTCCATTCTGTTAATCATATCCATAAGGTGGAGGTCTGTATGTCCATGCCTCCAGATATGCTATATATATTATTGTATACTCTGTGTTTTAAGATGGATGCCACATCTAACTGTTGTATTTGAAAACAATGCAAAAATTGCTTTTTATGTTAACAGACTCAGTGTTAGGCCTTGCATGGAACAGTACACAATGAAGCTTACACTTTTAGCCAAAAGAGATAGTATCGGACATCCTTTCCAGGTAAATCCCTTCCAAAAGATTTTCTGTGTATTGCTGACCAGTTTGATAGAAAACAATTGCCATTTTCCACTTACTTTATACTGAAATTAATTCATTATTCCTTTAATATCCCTATCAGAATCCTGAGTGAAAGACAAATAATCAATTAAGTATGACTTTAAAAAGCATGACCTGAAAATCTTTCCATTCTAAGTAAAAATATAGGAAATTAAAAGATGTAATATAAAATATTGTTCTAATAAATGCTGGTGTTACCGTTTACTTCCCCTGTGTGGCACAACCATTTTTTGCCAGAAGTGTAGTATTTATGTGACATCTTTAATAGAAAAAAGGCACTTCTGCTGACAGCTGCTTAATGCATTTTTGGTTAGCGTAAATTTAACAAAAATCTGTAGTTTTATGAAGCTAACACAGCAGCAGCAGATGGATGACATCTGAAGCACAAGCCAAATGTAAAGGAATTGTAGCAGGAGTAGAGGGGGCTGAATTTTGCCTACTAAGATTACAGGCTACTTATAGTTTATATAGTGACACAAATAGCTGTAGCAGCACAACGTTACCATAGAAACTTGCAGACCAGTAAAATATTCCTCCACCTCTCCACCAATGGAGGGACAGGAATACAAAGCTTGATATGGTAATGAAAGCCACCGGGGGATGATGAATGTGAACTGATTGAGGGTGAGGATTAAGTAAGACCTTAACAAGCCTTTAGGAGTGAAGAATGGCCATGACTTCCCTAGTTAATACAGTGGCATATTTAATTTTCTAAGATCACCCACATTTGTTGGCAGGAAAATATTTCACGGAAACATTACTTTTTTCCTAGGGATTACACTGTCAGACATCTTTTGGATGTCTTTCTTAATTATTTTGTACTGTTTTTACATACTGGAGGTTTGGGAGAGGGGGGCATGATTCAAAATAATATAGAATGTGGCTTCAGACCTCAGAAAACTGTACTTTATGAATCAAATTAAATAAAATTAGCTAATTTAAACTGATTTTAGTGTCTGCAGCATTTAATATTTCCAGGTAAACACTGCAAAATGAGCTACTGTAATTCTCAGTGCATATCTGGAAATCTATTTCTAATTCACTCACTTTTTAATTGCATATTCAGGCATTTTATTCTGGTCAAGGTCAGAGAGTCATATTTTTTGCATGGTTATTGCTGATTGTTTTGAAAAATGTAACATCTCCATCAGTAGAGAACCATATGATTTGCTGGAACTTCAGTAAAAAAAAAATAATAAAATTTCTCTGTCTTTTCCACCAATAGTTTTCATGGTATTCTGTACACTTTCCAAGATACATTAGTACATATGCCATCTAACTCATACCACAAGAACGAGTCCATCTGTTCAAATGTACTAATTTTGTCACACTAAATGGTATATGTTGGGTTTTTACTATTTAAAATGTTAACACTACAATGCACATGTTGTTTTTTTGTTTATATACATAGTAGTGTGTAGATATTACCTCCCCCACAATTTATTGAAGACCAAAGAAAATATATTGTATAATCCACACCACTTCAATTCATCTGTTTCCAAACATTTGCAGCAACTATCTATGTGCTGCTCTTTAAGATTCAGTCTAGACAGACTGAAAGAATAAAAAATTAAACATCAGAGATGATAACTTATCAAGTCAATAAGAAGGAATTCATAGTTTGTACTTCTAGGCCAATTGTTAGGACTAGGTAAATGCTGCATTTATCACACACCGTGTCCAAATGAGCTATCAAATATGGAAATCAGAGTACTTAATATCACATTTATCAATGTTTATCAAAGCACTGTTTTCATTATATCTGCTTATGTTACCTTGCTGTAGCTTGATCATCCACATCAGTCTTTGATTTCTGAGGGGTCACCTGATCTGATGAAAAGGCAGCCCTGCAATAGGAATGGTGAAAACATACTTAAGGCACAAGAAGATATTTGGAAACACATTGTATCATTGAAATGGGCTATCATTGCAGATGTAGTATTTCTTACAACTGTAACCACAGTGAGATCGGATTTTCTTTGAGAAACTTTTTTGTTTTTTTCTTTAAATATCATATATATATATTTGATATAAATATACATAATATATATAAATACATATATTATATATATGTAAAGAATACATATGTAAAGAGCTATGTAATGCTTTAGTTCACTGGATTACTGCATCCACTGAGCTTTTTGAAAAATTAGTATTCTAAGACTAGCTGTTTTTCTAGCATGGATATTCTAATAAAGCAGAGTTTCTTTACTGTGTCAAAATTATTTTAGTAATAAAGGAACTTTTAAATACTTTTCTACCTTCTACCATTTGCTACCTACTAAATAAATTTTACTTATTTAGTAAAGACTAGCATTTTACTTGTTTAGCAAAGTACTGATTTTTTAAAAATTAAATAAGTAAACAATTACACTTTCCTATTTTTACTTATTTGTCTTAACAGTCAGATTGGCCACTACAAGAATACTAAAATTATAAGAAATTATAAGAAAGGGAGAAGGTGGCCAATACAGTTGGAAATGAGAGTTATGTCTTTAGAGAATCTTTCTGTTAGGATGGCAAAATAAACCATGACAAGTTGTGTAGCTGCTTTAATTAGAAGCCATGAAATTACAGCTTGGTTAAGTAAGTGATCTTTTCCTAATTTAGACCATATGAAATGTACATTTAATTAATGAATTAATTGAATAAATTTATATTCTAAAATTAGAGCAACCTTTGCAGATACTCAAATAAGTTTAGAGTACTTTACATTAATTCACCTTATGTTAATGCCTTCTACTACAAGCCTTTCCATGTGCACAGGTTTTTAATTTACCACTTTTTTCCCTTCACTTTGCTCACACTCTCTTTTTCACTCCCTCTTTAGACCATCAGTTTAATATAAAGGACTATTTGCACTAACAACATATATAACTGTGGAACTAAAATTGTGAAGCAGTTTTTAATTTTTTATGCAGTTACAGTTGGTTTCTCAATTTGAATAAATATCCAATGAAATGTTCTAAGCAATGTGAAAATAATTACATTTCTGCAAGGAAGGAAGTCTTCTTCATGTGCTTCTGTGACACTGACTATGGAGGAACCCTCCCAGGTAGATTATACAGTCTTTGTGTTATAAATAAATGTAAAATAATAATCAAGGTTTGTGCACGGGAGTGTGTTTCATTTCTAAATCTACTAAGAAGCAAAGTAAAAAAGACATACATCTTTGGAGCCTCTGAATTTTCTGAAGTGGTCCTAGAGAAAGAAAAGAGTAAACATTTCAGAAACAAAGTAGCAAAATGCTAGTATCGAAGCACTTTGCAAGATTTTAAATCAATCAACAGCAATTAATTTTACTTTTCCTTCCTTCCAAGATGGTATTTTTCTTTGTTTCTTAATGTGGAACATAACATGTTTAACTCAAGTAGCGTAATACTAAGTTCTAATCATATTCTTTATACGTTACTAAGACAATCATTCTTCAGTTAACATTCTCCAGTCAATCACTCTGATCAATAGTGTTTTGTTTTCAGCACACAATTCACAACCAAAAAACTCAATTACAGTGAGTTGCTTATATTCTTAGCTTCATTTGCAATGTCTTTTAAGTGTTCTGTAAAGTGTGCTTAATCAGCTTGGAACTGAGGCAAAGCACTGTGGAAGTTTACATGTCATGCTTGACTATAGAAGGCTAGAATCAGGTCTCAGAATCAGAAAAGGTAAGTAAATAATAAACCTTGACCAAAAAAACCCCACAAAACCGTGACTGCTGAACTCCCTTCCTGAGGACAGCAGAACAATCAATCATTCTCATATTTGAAGAAGACACAGCACTTTACTCCACCTATCATTAAGACTGGTAGTGACCTTTTAAAACTGTGGTTATTAGCATCTATACATAGCACTTTATTACTTGAAATTCACAGGAGAGTAAAAGACTTTCCTTTGGTGACTATTATTAGTTATAGTGATATTCACAATTTGAAATAGATTTCACATCTTCAAAGCACTTTTAGAAGATAAACAAATTAATCATTTAATGCTCATCACTGTTTAATCAACTGTCCTTGGTGACATTGTTGTTAGATGATCCAGGAAGAGTCATAAAAGCTTCAGAAAGAATATGGCTGTATTTCGGTCTTCTCTGAACTATGAGAGTAGAGGAGTAACTGGATAATTGGTGTTGAGAAGGACACAGGAATCCCAGGTTTTTGTTGGAAGCTGGGCAGATGCCATATAGAGGATGCATCCTATCCTATGCTTTCAAAATTACCATGATTACAGTGAGACATTGAAATGAAGCCAGATAAATTCATCACAGTTGACATATTAAAAATATCTAGTAAGCATTGACTTAAAACAAAATAAACTTTAGCATCTAGGAGCTATCTTTCTGCTGGGTGGTGAGTGACTTTTTGAATCTTGGCTAAACAGATGGACAGTAGTAAACACAGAATAAGATTAAAAATAATTGCTAAACTTGGTTTTAAGGATTCATCTTAAAGTCTTCCTGTGACAGAGATGTCATAAACTCCCTAGGCAATGGTCTACCAAGGAATTATACCTAACAAGACAATGTATCCGTTCATTTCTGTTTCATTAATTTTCATCACTGATATGCATGAGACTCATGTTGGAAGTTTCCCAGATTAAAACTAGGGAAGCACAAGGCCATGATGCAGCCAATAGGGGACCTAAGCAAAGAATATCACAAAAGTTCATTCATTAATATTTTAAACCATCCATTTTCTGCTTTTAGATGAGAGCATAAGAAATGTTCTCTGTTCTCTTTCTGGTCTGCCAGAAAGCAACCACAAGTTTAGAAATAAACATTAAACATTCAACTGCAAGGAACTTTAGCCTGAGCTTTTCTTCTAAACTATTTCTTGGACACCATACTGAGAGCTGACTAAGCAGATCTTGAGGTTTTGTCCACACTTAACCAAAAGGGCCCAGGGTTAGCCCTGGCTGTCAGACCAAACAGCACCAATAGGTTCCTGCCCTTAACGGCTAGTCGCTTTATAGCAGATTTGTCTTGTGGAGAGCTAACTGGAATAGTCCAAAGCAAAACCATGAAGAAAGCATACAAGTATTGTAGAAAAAATTTGGGAGGACTTATGTAACCTCAAGTCACGGGCACTTCATATACCCAGACCTTAGTCAATGCTGGGCATCAAGCTGCTAAGAGCCCAAACAAGTATTTAGGTATGGGATGCTTTCTCTTCCCATGCCATCTCAATCATCAAACTCGGTCCCTCAAAGAATTGCACTGTTGGCTCACTCCCAGAATCAGCTTTAGCCAAGAATTAGGAAATAACTAGCAATCATCAGTACTTACTGTTTAGTTTCCACAGTTTCTGTTGTGGTCTTACTACTCGAAACCGAGGGAGGCATCCAAGATTGCCTGTCAATGTTAACAAATAAATTTTTTAGTATTAGCTTAATGCTGTGCAGTTGAACAGCATACTATGAATGCTAGAATGTCAGAAGTGTTGTAGAAATACCTGGAACTTCTCTTAAATTATTAGTGTTTTGAAATACTGCATGCAGATACTTTTTAGACCTTTTTTTTTTTTTTCAGACAACTGAATGGAATTGAAAATAATAATTTTAATTACTGTTGTGAAAAATGTGTTCTCTGACTCTAGGTGGTCTTTTCTGCAACCTGAACGGTACAAATAAATGGATCATTCACGGGAAGGACAACCAGAGAGAATGCACAAAGGAAAGGGTGTCAAGTATCAACCCAAGAAACACATTCAGGCTGGTATTAGAGGTCACATAAACATCACAAGCACTTTCAGTTCTTTTTTTTTGGTTGTTTTTTTTCCCCTCAAAACTATGAATCCAGCAATTGTTTGTGAGGGAAAAGCAATTGCACCATAAACAGTGCAATTCAGTGATGGCCTTTCACATCTTCAAAGAGCCTGAAGAGAACTACTGGGCTGAAAACACCATAAACTTCCAGTGAACAAGCAGCGTTGTTAATATGAAAATGATGACATTTTAATTTCTACTTTCATAATTCTACTGATCAAGATTTTTATGCATGAAATATGGAAAAGAAAAATCACAAACAGACAGAATTTGCAGCTGGGAAGGATGCATAAAAATATGGCTATCACCAGCAGTAAATTTTAAATTAAAAATGTAGTTCTTTGTTCTACACCCTGTTTTTAGTCTTGCTCAGATAATACTATCTGAAATCCAGATTTTTAAAGCTAGCTGTGTATCATGCAGAAAACTCTGTGGTTCATATGTACTGCAACAGCACAGAGTCAAATTCGGCATCAGAGATTTCAACTGGTCGCAATTACAGTGAGCTATAATGCTTTAAACTTAGACACTAAAAAGGCATACGCTATAGCATCTGTTGTGGTATGTCCACTGGGCTCACAAAACTGGCTCTACAGAGACAAACTTGCAACGCAGTACTCCCATGGAAAAAGTCAGAACATGCTAAAGTTTATTTCTTGAAGCTTGCTGAGGAGTTAGAGCATGCTAGGGGAGAAAGTTGGTAATTTTTTTTAGGTAATTGTAATACATTACTGAGGTTTAATAGTGCTATATGTCCTCTGGCAACCAAGCAATGATGGTAATGAATACCTTTTTTTCTTGATTGGAGAAGTTGCAGCAGTGTTTGTGGATGCTGCATTAGGAGTCCAAGACTGTCTGTTAAGGAAATAGACTTAATTAATTAACCTTCAATGAATGTATAATTTTAAATTAAAAAAAACAATTATAAGAAATCATATTTCTACTATCAGAATGAACCAACTGTGTGCGGTAAATGGTATGACTATGTTTATATATGCCAACTGAAATTTTGGAAATACCTCAAAGGATACAAGATTTGACACCTTAAGAGACTCTGATGCTTAGAGAACAGATGTGTTTTTACCTGATACAAAAAGTGATTTCTGACTTCTTAAAATCTTGACTTCTGTACCTACACTTCAGTCTTCAACCACTAAAATATTAATATCCTTATTTTTCATACTTTTTTATGTTTCTTATTCAATTATGTCAATGCTGCTCTATTTTATGATATACCTGTAAAAGGAGCCAGTATTCCTCATACTCCTAACTATATGAGTTCCAAGTCAGTGATTTTTCTCATAAAGTTTATCAAAAAGTAATTGTCTTGTCCTGTGCAATTCTTAATGTAATGAGAATAACTGAAGAACAGAGCTTTATAAATCATTTTATTGCTCTCTAGCAGGAAAAGGTATATACTGTTTAAGTCTCACTTGAGTCCCACTTCAGAATTCGTGGCAGGTCTATTAAAAAATCATCTCCAGAAAAAATAACATAAAATCTAATTTATATGATATTTCATGTGTCATCATCACCATGATTTACAATATAATGGTGCAAAACCATAATTTAAAAAATGACCTAACTTGAACTTTAAATGCCAGAGATACTCATTTGCTCTTCAGAGTAATATCTCAACACTTTTCAAGATGACATTTAATTGCTGTGCTCAGTCTTCACTAGCAACTATACTCAGTGTAATTTGTTACTGATAGAACACTACTGGCACTGATGAAGGGACAAAGCAATATATTTGTCCCTTTACATTTATAAGTATGGTGGCTGAGCTCTTCTGACTTTCATTTTTTAAATAAAAATTTTAATTAGGTAAGAGCTGTAAGTTCTTTAGAAAATAAACTTTCAGTGTTGTGTAGTCATATTACACATATGAAGTGGCCATCTCTGAATCATAACAACTTTTTTAATAATATCAAAAATTTTGTGCTAACTTATTTTAAATTTAAAATTAGTTTTGACCTGTTTTAAACAAAAGACTGATCTTCCAACAAAAGAAAAGCTTCCACTGGAAAAATCAGTTAACCCGTCTACCAAAATAGTATTTAGTATGTTTTGGTACTCAAGTTTTCCACTGGCAATGTTCAATGGCATTTTCTACTGAAAACCTTCATTAGAATTTTTTCATGTAGTCTTTCCTCAGAAATACATACTGTATTTGGTATAATTCATGCAGAGAAATGTAGAGGTCTAGAATATACCCACACTGAACTGTTTTCAAAACATTCTCATTCTTTCTTTTTTGTATTTAAAATACAGCGTTTCTTAAATAATGCTATGCTGAGTAAATGTGTAATCTGAGTTGGTGTCTCTCTTAACCTATGGGGAAAAATAGGCATTTTTAAGGAAAGTTCCTCTTATTCTAAAGCAAATATCTGAGTGACATCAGATGAACTGTCCACCAAAAGACCCTTTTTCTCCTCACTGCCTATAAAAAGAGTCTATGATAACCTAGATATAGATGTCTGCACTCCAGATCTCAGGTGGTGAAATGAAGCCTACTATTAGGCCATATGCCATACAAATAATTTCTCTATATATTCTTGGTATGTACATGTAATCAAAAGCTATGATAATATATAATACTTAGATGATAATGTATGATAAATGATACAAGATAAATTATAATACATAATACTTAGATGGTAAAGTTCTCAAAACTCATACCTGTTGCTTTGCTTATTATTCAGAGTTGGGGACTTATTTATTTTATCAGTATCACTTCTGGCTGGAATTCTGTCAGAAACACAGAAAGTATTTATAATACACACTCTAGATCTTTTTTAAAAAAAACACTTTCAGTGAAGTTAAAAGATGGAGTATCACTTTGCCCTGTGTACAGATTAAAAATTCGCCAGTATCAAAATAGGTATAGAACAGAAGCTGTATTAATATATCATTAGTGCATTAATATCTGAAGAGTCTAAGTAGCTCACTGAAAAAAACTGTTTTAAAAGGTTGTGTTCAAACTCTAATTGATATATTGTATCAAGCCTCAGTGTTGTTAACAGTTCATTTATTACAACTCCTTTGAATTAGGTCAGAATACTAGAAAGAAAGCAATGTTCAGTCAAGCAGTACATAAACTACCCCCTTTCCCTCTCCCTCGCCATCCCTTGAGAGATGTAACAATCTCATTTTCTTTACAGCTTTTAGAGATCAATGTGATCTGAAAATACCCTGGTGTAAGATCCCAGATAAAGCATGGTAGTGACCTACAGGAATAACATCCATCAAAGAAGTTAGATTATTTTTGCTGGAATTTATTTTATTAAGCCGTGAAATTTACACCAAGAAACAACCACATGATTTTCAAGTCCTTTATGAATTCTAGTTGTTGCTTAAAACCCCTCCGAATTTTCACAGAAAGCACATTGTAGCTACTATAGTTGAAACAGTTTAAGCACTTATTTTATTTCAACTTTCTTCCCATATATGGAATATCCTTTAATAAGAACAGGGGGACTCTGAAAAGCTCAAATGTAAAGTGACGTACATTGAAATAGATTACAAATACTAAGTTGAGGGGGTTATCTTAAATATTTGGCCAAAACAGCTGAAACACATTTTGAGCTACAACTTATTTACATATAGAAATTACTTAATTTTAGTTATCTATGCCCATCTATAAACTGAAGCTATAGATCCAAAATAATTAATCCTAGAACTATTAATCTAATGTAATATACAAAACATTTTGTATACTGCCTTAAGCCAAGTATCACAGAATACTGTTGTATTTAATGAAAAGCCTTCAAGAGAGCTCTGGGACACAATCTGCACCACCATGTGATCTCTGCCTTTTTGCCTTTCTCAAATCATAAATTTAATTGTGCAAAAAAACTATCTCACATCACGGGCAGCTTGCCACGGTGAGCAGCAGTTACAGTTACGTGGAAGATCGCTAGAGGTCTCACAGAACTCGCTAGCATCACTGCGGGTGCAAACACAAGCATTTCTGCTAGTTCACAACTATCCAATGAACCAGCATTTCTTTCACGTTTCTATTCATATTTTCAAAATTTCAGCACAACACTCTAAGCAGTTCTGTATTTGCTCATTTTAAAGATTTCAAGGGTCCATCTGGCACCCTACTCTGCTGCTGCCCAATGTAGGAGAAGCTTTGAAAAAATTGAAAGAAGAAAGATAAGTGTAAAGTTAACTTCTCCTTGTAGAACTTTTCAGCTTCTGTTTAACAGTGGTTGAAGAATATCCTCTGTTTGCACCCAGAATGCTGTCTCCAACAGACACCTTTGGATCAACATTCCATTTATCCATCCAATGTTTTTCTGAACCAGTTTAAATTTCTGGCCTCCACAATATCCTGTGGTGGTGACTCCTACAATTAATACATGTGTTAAGGGAAAAACAAATGTTCTTTCTTTCTTTCCTTTTCTTTCTTTAAATCATTACTTAAACATTTTGTAGAGTATCTCCTCATTCTTACAGTGGAACAAACAGAAAATATTCCTTCCTTACTCACATTCCCTATATCATTCCAAGCTGAGGAATCTTTGTCTCTTCAGATATTCCACATATGAAAGCTACTCCCTCCCTGTGATCACTGTTTCTCACTTTCCTCTTTATTTTTTTCTGATTCTATTGTAGTTTTTTCACTTAAGTGAAATGCTGCATGCAGTGTTCAAGATGTGCAAAACAGGTTCATACCACAACTGAACAGTGGTTTCTAGATTGCTCTCAGTTCCTTTTCTAATAATTTCTACCATTCCAAAGGATTTGATTATTAATAAAGCGGACAATGGAAGTGTCTTGTTTGCTTAAGTCCCATCTCTTCAGATCTAATTGCTATAAGTGCAGTTAGGATTTATTCCTCCTGGAAGCTATTCTGGACTTAGTAGCATATAGTACATGGAAAAATAGCAACGTAATTTTCATCATCACTATCTGATTTTTAAGTTTTCTCCCATCTTTTGTGAAATATTTAGTTAGTTGCTAATAATAAGAGAGAAATAAAAGGATAAATAAAATTTTGCCTCCTATCCAGAAAGGCTGTCTGTGATCATCTGCACAATGCAATTGTTGTCTGAGTTATGATGTGTAGATCTACATGCCAGTACAAGTACATGTGCACCTACTGCCATCAAGCTATGGATTTCTGTTAACAGCAGTGTTTGGTATTTTCTTGTGCTTGCAGCCAATGGTGCAATTGCATGTAATCATCTGCAACATCTCTCCTAGGTCCTTAATACTGAAACTGATGTTCAGATTTTGTAGATATTGGGTTAGGCAAAATTCATATCAAACAATGCTTTCTTTGAACATGGATATGGCAGTATCTAGGAAGCAAAAAGCTGTACTTAATATGGCTTTTAGATATGTTTTCACTGTTGCATTTACACATGCAGTGAAGAACTCAAAATTACTCCTATACTCTTCAAACATTTTATTTTGGATTTTTTTTTTTTAATTAGAATTCAATTACTATTTTGCCATTTTGAAAACTAGCTACTGAAGAGACATTCATCCAGATAGATCCAGATTCTTTAAGCCCTTGGCTTTTGGAATATTACAGTCATGGCCAGAAGAGATGCAACACAGAATTGTGGAAAGATGTTCCAATATCTAGCTTGAAAACAGATAACTCCTAAAGACCTTTTGCAGGATAGAAGACTACCGTTTTATACAGTGTCTTAGCCAGACAAAAATTATTTTCCATACAGGCAACGTGACTTACAATAATTCTGTAAACAGCTCAGAGATCTCCAATACCAAGGTAATTCTTCTCAAGAATTGTCTACTAGGAGCAGTCCTTTAGACTGTATTCCAGGAACATGCTCCATTTTCAACTCTGCCTTTTAGTTTTGAACTGGAAAAAACAATGAATGTTTCTTTTTCACAGAGGCAACTAAGCAATATAGCTGTTCTGCAAACTGGTCTGTTCTAAGCTTGGAGACTTCTGTACTGTGGTTATGCTTGCCAGAAATAATTTATAAGAAAATAAGGGAATTGTACCTCATGGAGAACATCCTTCACAGAGCAAGCAGGAGTACCAAATTTGTCTGCAGGCTACAAAAAGGTGCTAAGAGAAAATACAACACCACACCCTTTTATGCCTTAGGTTGCAAGTTTGAGGATATGCAGAACACGTGGTCATCCCTTACAGAAGTGCCTGCTGGCAATGGGTGTGCACACATTAATCCTGGAATGGCTATATTCCACAGTTTTGAGAAGACCAGTGATCACTGAGGAAAAATAAACGACTTGACCGCAGCTTCCTCATTGTAATCATTTCATGGTAGAACCATCATTATTCACTCAATTTATGGAAATATTCTGCATTAGTTATCAAAAGTGTATATTCATACCTATAATGCTTTCTTTGTATTCTCTGTCATCTGTTGCATGTTAAGAACCCTTTACATTAGATATTTGTGTATATGAAAACAAAAGACAGTCAGCTTACAACCTAAAATAATTCAGACATCTTAATATGTCAGCATAAAGCAAAAAGGCACAGATATACTACAAAAGGACAATGCTGTTCGGCGACGCTGTAGAAAATGGAGTTGTCCTATGACTTCTAAATTAGTAATCAGGCCTTCTATGCATGGAGATCAAGCCTTAAAAATTGTTTTGAAGACAATGAGCATGTGGATAAGAGTGACAGCTGACATATTCTACTTGGATTTCCAGAGCTTCACAGAAATTTGCTTTAAGGGCTCTTAAATAAACTGATCTCCTATGTGGTCCTTTCGTGCATAAATAACTGCTTGAAAAGCAGGAAACAAAGGTTTGGAATAAACAACAATTTTTCAGAAGGAGGGATCTGTACAAGACCTGTGTTTTTCCTTATGTTCACAAATTATCTGGAAAAGGAGGAGAATGAGATTATGTTGCTTGCCAATGACATTAACTCATGGTAGTCAAAGCAAATGCTGACTGGCAAGGCTTTCAGAAGTCGTCTGCTAACATATCAGATTTCTAAAATGGCAGATGACATTCACTTTTCTTAGATGCAAAGTAATGCCTGCCAAGAAAATGAATTGATCTCTGAACCAGCTATTATTACTCAGGAAACAGGTCTTGGAATTATATAGGTAATGTTATGAAAATCAAAGCTCAATTCTGAGCAGTACTCAAAAGAGCAAATTCAGTATTACGAAGTATGAGGGAAGGAATAGCAAGTGAACCAGAAGCCGCTGTTATACTCTATCTATACAAGGTGTGCGCCCATCTTAAATACCTGCATGGAGATTTGGACCCCCAGATCAAAAAGACTGCTATGGAAATAGAAAAGATACAGAGAAGAGCAATAGGTAAATTGAAGTTATAGAATGGCTTCCTTGTCATTGGTGTACAAATACAGCAGTATTCACTGGCTTGCAGAAGAATTGACAGATGGGTGATTTCACACAGCTCTGTAGCCTGTTCTGTTCCAGACTTATATGGAGAAGGTAAATTTTACGTAACTTTTTTTCATCATTTCTTACAACAGAAGTAAGGACCATCAAACAAAATAACACAGTGCTAAGATCCAAGCAAACAAGTGTACTTTTTCCACAGTGTGCATTTAAGTGCTGGTATTCATAGCCTCAGCACGTTGTGGATACCAGATGTTAATGAGGGCTGAATTTTGAAGATGCAACATGGAAACAATCTGCAAACACAAGCATGGGCATGTCTTAACAGAGGTCAAGGCTGAAGAGGACATTCAAATTAAGGACCTGTATGACAAGCATATGATTCTGATATTTGTATTGATCATGGTATGAAGTGGCAGCAAGGATTTGCAAAGAACTAGGGGTTTACCCGTGTTGTGCTTAACTATTGGAGATAGGACTTTGATTTATCGTTTAAAAGTCAGAAAATTTTGAAGGAGTGGTTATCTGTGCAGAGATACTTACATTTATGAGGACAAGAATACACAGAAATTGATACAGAAAAAGAAAAGCAAGATGTCAAAAGAACCTTTTCTCAAATCACATTTCCATTTGTCTCATTGATAATTCATGCAAAAATCATTCAAAGTCTTCTACTTAGACACTTAATAAACAACAAAATTATAAAACCCCACTGTTTCCATTCATGCTTTCATTTTTAAGACCTCTCATAGGTATGAGAAATACATACAGAAAAAAGTCCTACCTGTCCAAGGTAGTATCAGACCTGTATCGTCCAAGTACAGCTTTCTGATCTTCCTTTTCATTTGTGCTACTGCTATAAAAAAGGTTAGAAATCCCATTTTGGTCACTGTTTTTATTAAACAACTCATCACCAATAAAACATTATATAAATCTCAAATTAAGGTATCATATAGGATTTCAGACCACCCAGGTGTCAACAGATCCAACCCTGCATCCATTGCAATGATCAACTTAATTCTTGACTTCAAAGTCAGATTTACAGTATAAACATGTATAGACTGAAACTGAACAAAGCAATCTCTTGCTATAAACAGGATATTCTAAAAGGATACTCAGTTTTCTTTGGCAATATCATTAGAAAGGTGTTCACATACTCTACTGTACCTGTGTAGGCTGTCTTGGGATTTGTACTGATTAAGCACAGCCCTTCCATAGTTTTCATCAGCACTTCAAGCAAAAGAAAGAGAGTGGTTAGTTAAAATTTGAATATTAAAAATAGAAAATTGTTTCTTGGTGAAAGATTTCTGTCCTCTATCAGATTTCATAGCTGTCCACTGCCACCGTAACCACACCAGCTACATATCTCTGCATTAGATGACTCCAGACATGTTGGAGTAAGAATTAGCTCTTCCTACATGCTGTTCATGAACCATATAATGAGGGCCTGGTCTCAAGATAGACTTTCTACTGTAATACAAGTCCTAGTTTGCATTACAGTAAATTTCAACTGATTCTGACTTAACCTTCTTAAAAGAACTTGCCAAGATTTATAATCTTCATGCTTGCAGAAAAGAAAAATTCAGATCATATTCTTGCAACCTAAGTATATGAAATGTGCAATTTTTCTTGTAGAGCAGAAGCCAGACATCTCATTAAATGTTCAGTGCTCAAAAGTCCCAATGAAAAACATAATTAGTGAAAGTCCAGCAAACTAATACTTCCAAAAGGCAATCAATACCTCATCAAGATAAGCAAATAATAGTTATTTGATTAAATTCATGTAATTCTGGTTGATACCATTCATGAAAAAGTAGACCCTCCAAGAAAATGTACATGGCATACAGAAGAAATGTATTTCATATCTTTCTTACCTTTCCTCTTCAGGCCTCTTCTTTATCCAGCTGTTATCTTGCAAAAGGGTCCGTCGTTTATTAATATCATGAGTAGCCTGTTGTCTGCTTTTAATTGCAACAGAGGGGCTCTTATTATCTGCAAATGCAGAGAAACATGTCTTGAAAATGAATGTATGGGATAACTTTGGAAACTTAAAGTACTATTAGAAAGGCTGAAATATGTAGAAGTTTAGCACAGATTGAATCTTCAGCTATCACTCCTGTTCGGTGCAGACCGTTTCATTGAAATATTTGTGGCTTAATCCCTTCAAGGGACTGCAGAAGCCCAGTTTACCAAGCTAAATTCAGTTTCACCCTTAATATGAAACAGCTTCATATATTTTTAATGTAAACAAATATCACAGATCTGATAAAGGAATTATGAAATATACATACAACAGTAATTCCAGGAATCAATCCTGTTTCCTGGGGTGTTGTCTGTGATTTTTGTATTCGTAGATGTGTGACAGGATGCAAATTTCAAATGAAAGCTAATCTTGAGATGATCACATGGTCTTCCACCTATATCCAGCCCAAGATGTGTGGATTTTCAGGTTTCTCAAAAGGGTCAGACTCCCTCTGAAGCTTTTTCCTCAGTGGCTGAATGAACAGTCTCTTTTCTAACCAGCTACCTAGTTTTACTGAACTTTGAATAAAAACAATATCTTTAAGATCTATAACTTTACATCAAATTTAACTAAAATTGGTGTATGGTTTCAAAGGTTATTGGGAGGGACAGACAGACATGCACACTCACACACTGGGTGAACATAGAAGCCTTATTTACTTATGAAAACAACTTAAAATATCTTAGCCCAACAACGCTGATATTTAATATATTGAGGAACTAACAATATGATGTTCACTTGATTTCTGAGAATATATGTTCCTCACTGTATTAGAAAGCTGATGTTTATCTCCTTTGGTTTCCCTTTATGAGGAGTTTGGCCCAGAAGCAAGCAAAAATATTCAATGACTGTTGTCGAGTATTCTCAGTTCTTTTTGTTCCCACCTAAGTTTCATATCATCATCCTGTTTGAGGTGAGGTGGAATATTGTTGTGCCAGTTTAACGTTCCCCTTTAAAATGCAAGACTAGAAGTTAAGCCCAAATAGAAATTCCTTTTTTTAATTGTGATATTTTTCCAATAGCATTGTAGGAAAACTGTTATCACCTACCCAAAAATCACTTGGATTGCACAGAAATCATGGCTTTCTTAATTGCTTAGTGCAAACAAGATTTTGGGAAATGTCCTGTAAAGGCAGTAGCCAAGGAATATATATTGTGTTTTCTTTTCAAGAAACATCACAAGCAATTTGCTCATGCATAAGGCCTTGAGTTTGCTGAAGAGTACTCATTTCTGGTCTAATGAATTGTCTCCCAGTTTCAATTAAAAATTAAATATAGATCTGATACAACAGTTCAGGTCACATGAGCACAGGCAGATGGAGCTTATCCCCTTCTTATTTTGGCAATAAAAATTTTATGTCCTTAACACGGTAGGCCAAGCTGTTCCCCACCATGGCTGTACCCATTTTGGTGTACTTAGGCCTGGCACATCCCACCCAAACCAGGTCCTCATGTGCCTCAAAACACTTCAGTCTTTCAAAGTATTTTGTATGTTCTGGGGAAATGGAAAGTTTCATCGTGTTTCCAGTTTGGCTCTGGTCATTTCTCTACACAGAAAGCGAACTCCAGCCCTCCTCAAATTTCATCCCTCCAGAGGAACAAAAAATCCCACCTGACAATTATTAAATAGCTTTTCTCTCCCCTCGCCCCATTCTAATTTTCCTCAATTTCTCCTCATTTCCCCTGAGCGAGCCAAAGAGACAGTGCTGAGATTGACGGAGGCCCTGTCTGCCCACCGCCTTCCCAGTCCCATGCTCCTGTGGGGTTGCCACAGCAACCACAGGCCTCAGCAGGGGGAACTGCCATCTTGCACCACACAGCCTGGCTCCCCCACACCACACTGCACTGCCCAATGTGGTGGTTTGGCCTGAATCTCTGCCAGCAAAAGCTTATGCACAACACTGCTAGCTTTGCAGCTGAAGCAGGTCCTACCGTGAATCTAACAACCAGCCTGTCACCGCCAAAGAGTGGTGGCATGCCCTGTGAGGGAGCTGTACAATGGGCATGGCAATGCTTAGAAATGAGGGAGGCCGTGCCTCAACCTCTAAGTGCCCTGAGAGCAGAAAATGAAGGAGATTCAATGTTACCGCTTTGATGAGGAGACTGTTTCCTTATGCTGAAAGCTGACATTTTGTTCAGTGGGGTGTCCTTCTGTGGGAATCTAAAAGAAAACATGAAAAAAAAAGAACAGAGAGTTGGCAGTGAGATTAGGAATCAGCCCCAAAGACAGTTTAAGTTCGTTTGCCACTTTGATCACCTCCTCTCACAAGTTTAGTCTGATAGGGTAAAATGACTTAGTGCTAGCTGCAGCCCTCTTCAAACGTGCTCAGGCATGGCAGTGGCTTTTCCCTCCCTGATGATGACTATGTGTATCTGTCATGGTTTAAGCCCAGCCGGTAACAAAGCACCATGAATCCACTCACTCACTCCTCCCCTCCAGCCCTGATGGGATGCAGAGAAAATATGAAGAAATGCTTGTGGGTTGAGACAAGGACAGGGAGGGATCACTCACAACTTATGGTCATGGGCAAAAGACAGGCTCAACTTGGGGAAAAAACAAAATCAATTTAATTTACTACAAATCAAATCAAAACATGGATAATGAGGAGTAAAACCAAACCCTAGAACACCTTCCCCCAGACCTCCCTCCTTCCCACCTCAGCCCCACTCCTGGTTCTCTCTCCCTCCTCCCCCCGGCGGCGCAGGGGAACAGGGGATGGGGGTTGGGGTCAATTCTCCACACATTGTCTCTGCCGCTCCTTCCTCCTCAGGGGGAGGAGGACTCCGCACTCCTCCCCTGCTCCAGCATGGGGTCCCTCCCGTGGGAGACAGATCTCCATGAACTTCTCCAATGTGAGTCCCTCCTGCAGGCCGCAGTCCTTCAGTCCCAGGCTGCTCCAGCGCGGGCTTTCCCATGGAGCGGCGGCCATCTTGTGGGGCCTCCGCTCCCCCACTCCCCTCCGTGGGCTGGGGGGACACAGGCTGCCGCCTGGTCTCCCCATGGGCTGCAGGGGCATCCCCTCCTTCCTCCCTGCCCTCGGGATCTGCACAGGGGTTCCTCTCCCATCCCGATCCCCCGACTCCCGGCAGGTTTCCCCTCTGGAATCTGTTCTCCCAGAGGCGGGTCCAGCTCCCAGCCGGGGAAGCTTCCAGCAGCTTCCAGCAGCAGCCGTCCCTGCGCTACCAAAAACGCCACCACAGAAATCCAAAACAGTATCCTTGCCCTGTCTCTCTGCCTGTCACACTGTCCCCCTTTCTCCTTGTTGGGAGCTCCTTCTCTGAGAACATGTTGGGTGGTGAGAGCCTTCGGAGGGCAAGACGGAATAACGAAGAACAGGGCGAGGTGATTAGCCTAATGAGAAGACGGTATCAGCCCGTGGCTCAGAGCGGCGCCTCGAGCACACGTGGGCTCACCCAGCCCCGCTGACGGGTCTCAGCTTCAGTGGCCTGCAGCTAACGCGGGGGTCTGGGACAGAGGCGGTTCTTCTGCCCTGCAGCAGTTTTCCAGTCACTGACTTCTCCCCTTATCTCAAATCTGGTGAAAAAATGACCCTCCAAGACTGCTGATTTAAAAAAAATAATAATAATTAGCTGTGAGTTGAGCCACTAAAGATTTCATGTTATGCTTTGAAACTGGACTTTGAACATCAGCTTTCCTAGAGAAAGCATCAAGCAGAACATAATGACATTTCAACAACAAAAAATTCCCCCTTAAGTAAAAAAAAAAAACCCAACAATCCTAACTTTGACTTAAGAGTGTGGACAAAACTGACCCTCTTTAGCGAATGGATTCCTTTTTGAAAAGCAGCAACTTCCAAGAAAACAGTGTTAAGCTGGAAAGCTCTCAGCCAGCTCCATGGGTCAGGCTGCTAAAATTTACAGAAGCACCAGAAAACAGTTTTTGTGACAGAAGCTGTCATTAAAATTTAGAAACATTCCTGGTTCTCTGGGTGACACAGTTGTCCTGGTTTTTTTGCAGATGTAGAGTGCATTGCTCACTCACCTAAGATAGAGTGGATTGAGAGACTGGAGCCTGTGGCTGTTTCTTTACTGATGGCAGGTGAAGAAGATGTTGAATTTTGGCAAAAGCTTAGCAAAAATACTAAAAGTAATACTGACAATAAAACATATAAAACTAGTGGATGCCACAATTGTCCTTAGAGCAGATTTTTCTTTTGTGTGTTTTTAGTGCCAATTACTAAACAAGCTTATGATTACCAAGAAAAGAAAGCAGGAACCCAAAATGTGGACGTATACAAATACAGATCTTTTTACAAAGATATAAAGACAAAAATAATATTGAAGTCCAAAAGTCCACATATATCTTACCCAGTTGTGAAACTGCAGATGTTTATAAGCATTTAAAATTCTGGCATGTTGATTGGAAGGCTCTGACCCACACTCCTTTCTTTTAACCTTAGTTGTTGGTATCAAGCATGCATTGGTACAGTGCATGTAGAAAACATGTGAGTGCTGGATCTGGTTCCCACCCAATAAAAATATGCTCAGGGCTGTGGTGAGCCTTATTTATTTTGCAATAAGTTACAAAATGTCTTTCAAAATTACTGATATAAAGTTTTAAGCAGATATGCACTGAACTTCCTAGATACTATTCAGGTAGGTTATCAAGCAATCGGTGTTAGATAATAACCAATCTTGCTATGAGTTTTCCTGAACTGTCACAAAATCATAGAGAGGACTCTGATTTTTTTATGTTTTCAGCATAGCAACAGCTGGACATCTGAGGTTTTTATTTCAGTCAGTCCCAGGATAATAGGAAGTTTGACGTTTCAGTATATTTCACAAGCATTGAGTGCTTGCATTTCTTCATTGGGAGAAGAAGCTGTAGTTTGTATTGAAGGAACTTGGATTTATTTTCTAATAAAGACTTTTAAAGCCATTTCTAACAGAAGTGAATCATAAAACTTTGAAAATGGAGTCTTTTTTTTTGGAAATTAAACCAAATGTGGTCATTCTAAAGCTTAGACTATCTTGTTAAAATACTTATTTTGCGATTTAAATATTTCTCACTAATGACAGGAAACCACTATGTAGACCTCATGTTATACTATACACTTCCTTTCCATAGATCAATGATGGAAACTGAAATTTCTCACATAACTAGCAAGGAAGTATCATACACCTTTGTTTAAAAAAAACCAAGAACACTTCAGACGTGTTCTGAAATATAAATTATCACCAAAGCAAAAAATCCATACATTTTGAGCCTTGTCTTTGAAATCTACAGAATAACTACAAATGCATTAATGACACCGACACCCTGAAAGCAGCTGGAAAGCAGGTTTGCAATTCCCTCTTGTATCCATGCATGACAAAAGAAAGTCCAGCAAGTGTGTTTCTTTCATCCTCCATCCTTTAATTAAAACTGGTTTTTCTCTTTCCTATATTCATTTTTTAATGTTTTTAGGGCAAAACAATATTTCTGTTGCATATGTGTACAGCATCCATAATAAACTACTACCTAGCCTCCCAGCCTGAAAGTAGTATGCATAAATGAATGTAAGAAACAGGCATACTCCCTTTCACAGTCAGCCCTGAAAATGTGCCAGGTATTCTGAAATTTTAAACCCAAGCATTTTAGTCTTACAGAATACTGCCATATTGTCCTCAAGGTTTACTTCTTGCTTCCAGACTTTCAAGTTGTATATCAAAGATTAATCAATTAAAATTTAAAATGCAAATTAAAAAAGAAAATCCTACTTTAATCTCTTGCACAGACAATCAAGAATCATCAGAGTAAGATTTAAATGTCAAGATCTTAGAAATGAAAAGAATCTTGCGTAAAGAGGCAGAATACAATCCGTCATAGCATCTTTTTCTTGGTCTTTACTATTGTGAACTAAGTGTGTTTGTGTCTGTGCATGTGGAAAGGGGAATGGACAGAAGATTGTAAGGATCACATTAGTTTAAAAACTTCAGCTCATAAAGATCTGGAACCATCACATTATTCACACAGGTCAGTGAACTGCTTATCTTCAGCCCATAGTTCAAGGGAGATAAAAAAAAAGTTTTTAACTTTGTAAATGAAATTGTGAGAAAGAGAAGTTATAGGCTTCTATAGTATAGTATAGTAGTAAATTATGTTTAGGCATTCTTAATAAGATCTCAACCACTGAAGCAAAACAACTCAGCTGGAATGCAAAACAAAAACAAACAGGAATGCAGCTCCAGTGTAATTTGAATTTAAAAACAGCATCAGGAAACTTTAGAAGAAAATTAAAACTGCCCCAGCCAGTCCAATGAGCAGTTCCCAAAGAGTTTTAGGACATGCCAATCCTGGATTCAGACCCTCCGCCATTTTTGGGGAAATCCAAATACAATCCTGAAGAAACCCAGAAAAAGCTTCAGACATGACTTCAGGAAAAGTCAAATGCTCCTCGAAGCTGGTAGCCAGTTATTCAGAAAGCAGCACAGGTCTCCAATTTCATTTTTATCACAGATAGCCACACTTCTACATCTCCTTTCCACATCCTTCAGTGACTGATCAGCAGAAGATCTCAGGCCTGCCTTAAATTCTCAAAGCTAAACCTTCTAGTTTTCAGCTGGTCTGAACACACCCATTCTTCCAACACAGAGTCCTCTTGCCTTCCTTCTGTTCTTGGCTGTAGCTTTCTATGTAATTAGGTTTCACATACATGCATTGCCGTATTTAAAAAAATACATAAGAATAATACAAACATTTCCTGTAAGAATCATGTTTTCCACATCAAACTGAACTAGTTACAACCAAAAAAGTCTTCGTTCTTTGGCTTCTAGCTATGACAGTGATTAAGACCTTATTTATA